AGGGAGACACGCCACGATGGGCATAAGAGTTTTGGGGCGTTTTCCCCCCTCCCCGGTTTGGTGGGTGGGTGGTCCCCAATCCAGCCCCCCCCAGCCCAGATGCTGGAGGGAGGCAGAAAGGCGGAGGGATGGGCTGAGCGAGGGATGTGGGTGGGGAGATGGCAGGGAGGATGGTCCCCACCCTGCCAGGGTGTCACCCAGGGGTCTTGAGATGCTTCCTCCGTGCCCCATCCTCTGTGCTGCCCTTCTGCAGCCCTCCCCAGCCCCATAGCCAGGGGCCCATCCCGGTTCCTCTTTGCTGGAGGGAGAGGAAGCGCTCGGCAGGGCCCTGTCTGTCCAGCCTTACCACGGGGCATGAGTCATCTCTGGCCTGCTTACAGGGCCTGGGCATCGCTGGTGGGAAGTGGTTGCTCACTGGTTGCTCCAAGTAGGGTTTGCAGGTCAGCTCTCCCCCCGGTCCAGATGTGGTTTCAGAAGCTCTTAAAAGCACACCATGGTGCTCATTCTCCCTCCCTGCCTCCCTCCCCAAGCTCCTAGAAGATGACTTCCAGTTCATCCTCTGCGAGGGCTGCCAACAGGAATCGCCCAACCTCAAGCTCCTCACCTGCCTCCACACCTTGTGCCTCAGTTGCTTGAGCAAGTACAAGCCCATCGGGCAGTGCCCCGTGTGCCAGACGGCCATCCCGCAGGCCAGCGGCATCCCCGACATGGACAACCTGCTCTTCACCAACCTGCAGGCCAGGATCAAGTTCTTCAAGAAGATTGTTGACGGAGTTGACTTGTTCTGCGACAACTGCAAGAAAGCCGGTGAGTTCTGGTGCTCCGACTGCAAGGAGTTCCTCTGCACCAAGTGCTATGAGGCCCACCAGCGCTACCTGAAGAAGGAGAGCCACGATGCCAAGAGGGTGATGGGCATCAGGGCAGGGTCTGCTAAGGACTTCCTCGAGGGCACCAGGAGGACCGGGAACTTCTCCTGCTCCAACCCAACCCACAAGAGCCATAATGCAAGGTAGGTCTAAGGAGGTCTGTCCCTGTCTGGGTGGCTTCTTGTCACAAATCTCTTTGGGCTAGTCCATGATGGGACTGAGCAGGGCGTCCCTGCCCCTCTGCTGCCCTGATTGCCACCATGTCATGGAGAAGATGGGTGGGAAGTAGTGACCAGTGGGCTCTAGGGCATGGAGGAAGGGTTTGGATGAAGCTGGGTTTGAGCTGATGATGGGAGAGTGGGGACAGGGCAGGCTGAGGGACAAAAATGGGTGGGGTGCTCCTTGCCAGGGTAAGGAGGGTGAGGTTGATGGAGCTCAGCAAGAAGAAGGCCTGTTGCTTCAGCTGCCGTGATGGACACCAGAGAAGGGTGTGTTTTGCTGGTGGTGCTAGACCAGCCTAGAGAGGATCTGGGGAACAGCATGGGTGCAATGCAGGACAAGGTTTAAATGCACTTGAGGGAGAGTCCAAACGAGAGGGGAAGGGGCTGGAGGCCAGCACTGATGCTAGCCACAGTGGCCCAGATGCAACCCCTGCCCCAGCATGTCCTTAGACCACCATTTTCCAAGGCTACCAGGACTTATATGAGGGATGGATGATGATATCGACTCCCCACTTCTTATATTCTTGCCTCAGGTATTTTATGGAGATAGGATACTCTTTGGTCTTATATTCTTATACATAACCCCAATAAGTGCTCAAGGGAGGGCAGAGTGCTCATTTCTTCGCTGCCTTCACGGTGCGTGGATGAACATCTACCATAACACTTGCATAGTCACCACGGAACCAACATATTTTTTTTTGCAGTTGGGAGAGTATAAAACCAAATGCCTGGCCCAAACTTGGCGGCAACTTAAATTCAACGAAGGAATGAATTTGTAATTTGATAAATGAATGAATTGCGAAGCACGTGGTCTGAATTACTGCTCTGCTTGTGCT